AATACACTGACCCCCCCCAAACACCCCCCCCCCCCTTCCCGGGGGTTAATTTTCCTTTTTTACCCGTTACACTGGGTTTTGCTCAGTTACCTACTTACCTGTCCCGAGAATTCAGGACTGTCCACCTGTAATCTACCACTCTACCACCGCATGCCAGGTTCCTTGCTGCCATCTTACTCTCCCGGAAACCAGCTGTCTCTTCGGGTTTCTTGAAGCTGGCTACCTGATGGTGTGCCGCAGGGTTCTTCCTCACCAACCGCTGGGTGGAAGCCAATGCCTCATGGGATATCTGAGGTAGATATTCCAGAAGGACTGTTGGAACAGGGCGTCATTCTCACCTAGGCGAGAAGAGAGGCAGGTGGCGGAGTGAAACAAAAATCTCCAAAAAAAGGTAAAACAGAAAGAGTCGACTTTGTCAAGTATGCGGAGAAGGGAGGCATGCAATGCAGCAAAGTTTTTGGGGTTTTTTTTTGGTTCACTTTAATTAAAATAAGTATTTTACAGCTCACATTGCATAAGAGACCGCTCCACAGAGTCCCCTGGGGAAGTCTGATACTTCTTCCTTTAATTTTACGTTGAGGGGACACATGATTAACCCCTTTTACAGCCTTTCAATATATTTGATATAATTGTTGTTTCTTCTTTTTGTTTAAAGAAACTGCATCCAGAACATGCCCAATACACACTAACAGTGGAAGGAAAGAACTACACACTGAAGCTGCTAAAAAACAGGTATTGTAGTAATGGGTTTGGTTAATGCATTTGTTTGAGCTTTGCTTTTGAATCAGACCACACTGGTTATTGTAGCACTAAAATGTAAGCTATTCCATAGCTGCGTATAGTCTGTTTGACCATAGTTTTCAAATCTCATTGGTTTTGGCTAAAAATAACTGTCACTTTAAAAAAAATAAGGATGCTTGTCATATTTGAGCCATACACCGTTAGAGTTTTCTCATTAAACCTGCACAGAGCCATTAGATTCCCCCTTCCACACTAAACAGCATGGATAGAGTAATCTCTGTTATTGACTATTGTATTCAGCATCTGCTCCCACAGCTTCTGAATACATCTGAGTGACTGCAGTCCCTGTTCAGCCTATAAGTTTCCACCCTGCTCCTTCGGCAAAAGTTAAATAAAAAAATGTACTAATTTTTGTAATGGGTGGTGCCAGCAGGGCCACACATTGGAAGCTGGAATTTCAGCTGATATTCGAGCTGTAGATGGGCAGCTTGATACTTGCATGCTAATCATGAAGAAAACCATTATTTTCAATGGTGCCCTTTCAGGCCTGAGCACCAGAAAAAGTCCAAGCTTTTTGAGCAGAATTGTTCAATTTTTGGCCCCTTAGACTTCAATGTGAGCACTGGTAAAATGCAGCAACTTGCGTTTTTCATGCAAATCTGCTGGGGGCCTACACTGCCATCTCTAGTCACAAGTGGCTGTTGTTAATTTCAGGTCAGATCAGGTTTAGTGCCTTTTTTGTTTGTGGTTTAAAAAAAAAATATTTTATAACTTAAGTGCTTGTTCACACCAAATCTGGAACAAATCTGGATGAGTTTCTGCATATGCAGTGCGATGCGTTTTTGATGCGTTCTGGGGTGTTTTTTAGTCTAAAATTGTCTTTCAGGTGTAGTCCAGTGCAATCCAGAGCGTTTGCATGCTTTTGGTGCGTTCCAGAGCAGAAAAAATAGGGCATGCAGCAGTCTTTCCACATGCACAGGAACTAAACACTGTCATGTGAACTAGAGCCCAAAATACCATTGGAATTCACTGGATGCATTTATGTTGCGCCCTGAAACTGCTCTGTATCTGCTCCGCACTTGTTGTGAACAAACCCCAAGGCCTGCAATGAATATCTGCATTTTATAAACAATGTATTCATAACATTAGGCTAAATATATAATGTTTCTTTTGTAGAGAATTGCTGGCAAAACAGTTTACAGTAACATACTACTTGGATGATGGGACAGAGGTGGCAGACACTCAGGATGGGCAGGTAGGTACATTTCATATTTACCATATGTCAGTGTGAACACTTATTTTAAGAGTTTTATGTTTTATCAATTCTATACTTGCCTTCATATGAAAGATGTCTGTATATGCATGAAGTATTATTGTAGCGTTTTTAGGTTAAAGTAAAAAAAAAAGATTTTTTCACAAAGACATTTCAGTGAAACTATGTCAATAGCAGGCAACCTGGGCACTGCAGCTATGGTATAACTCCCATAATTCCTCTGCCTCTGGAAGTCATGCCTGTGGCTGTCAGGGTCTTGCAATGTCTTGCAGTGCCGTATGGGACTTGTGATTCCACAAGGTTGCACTCCAGCTATTTTTGAAGTACAAGTCCCATGAGGCATTGCAGGTATTTTCTAAAGGAGGCACTACTACTTGAGTCTGGTGATTAACAACCTCCCGTCCGCCAAAAGTAGGGAAATGGCCGGACGGGAGCCTTCTAGATGCGGGTGGACGTCTTAAAACGTCCTTTGGGCCGGCGCTGGTGCGCACATGCGGGAAACTGTCAAAATTTGAAACGGCCAATGATGGCTGTTTACCTACAAGCTGTCAAGCTGCCCGATTGCTTGTATGTTGTGCTGTCGTGCGCCCCCCTCTGCCGCGATCCTGTGCTCCGTGCGGGCCCAGGACCGGCACTGTGGCTCTGTGCAGGGAGATTAGTACACGATCTCCCTCTGATGTCCCCTCCTGTGTTGTGAGTGCGGAAGTGATGTTTATTACATCACTTCCGCATTCAGCTGTCACTCTCCGGCTACAGACACCGGAGAGAAGCTGGTGAAGCAGATCTCTGCTTCATCAGCTTCTTTGGGGGTTGCTAGGTGACATTAGGTGTCCTCTGATGTCTCCATAAAGAGGACCTGTCACTGTAATTTGATATCACATAGGGGGATTCTTAGGCCCCTATGTGATAACAATAAAGTTAAGTGTAAAAAAACACTTTGAAAAAGCAGGAGGTACATTAGGAGTACAAAACTTTCCCCCCTCTCATCTCCATCACCTAGGGAGGAGGTGTTCAGAAGGGTGTTCAGACAAGGCTGATAACAATACGTGAGATTTCAGTGCACCACAGTAAGTTAGGAGCTCACGAGATTTTCTTTCAGCAACAGGTATTTTTTATTGCACTTATTGAACAGATATAACAAGACATATTCAATGGTATATTTTACAGCCCAAAAATGAGAAAAAAAGAAAAGGGTTCACGTACACTTTAATGATTTGAATGAATGTATAATAATATACATAAACAGAATTATGTTAGAAATCTGGTAAAATATATAATTAAAGTGGTATTAAATTCTCAAACCTTTTCAGTAATGAATCCAGATCTAACAAATATGCACTGTCCAGCAAAGTATTTCCCAATTATTTCCAAACAGCTGGAAGATGCACATCGCTTATTACATGCTCAAGGGTGGCTCTATAGGACCCTGCAAGGGAAAAGAGCAACACTAAAACAGGATATCAGGGCTAGTGCTGAGGGAACCAGCGGATTCTGCACAAAACTAAAACTTTTAAACATCAAGGAGCAGCATCTATTGTAAGCAATTAAATAGATTAAAAACATTTTCACTTTAATGTAACCAGAGTAGTGTGTTTGATAGCACCAGTATTTTCCACACTGTATGTAAAGCGCATTAACAGTGGTTTGTGGTTGCTTGAGGTAAGGGCAGATAACCTAGATTCTTGGAATCTCCTCGTATGTTTATGGTAACGCAGGTTGCATATTTGCTTAGTAACATATCTAATTTTTTTACAAATACGTGCAGCAACAGACGCCGGGCGGTACTGTAACATTGTTATAAAATCTCATATGAAAAACAGTGCTTAGTATTAAATCAATAACTTCATTGATCTATTGATTTACTATTGAGCACTATTTCATATGAGATTTTATATATTTTATATCACTTGGTGATATTAATACAGCTGCTAATAATTTAGTCAATGTCTGACTCCTATATACTGTATACATACATCATTGTACAGCACTTTTTTATGGTGAAGATTTTTGCTCTCTGGCTGCCCATAAATGCTGCAATAAAAGTAAAGGATTCTCCAGATTTCCAAGCATCACTTGTGATTTGTGGACTATTTCTTATTTACTAGAGGACAATAACAAGCTCCTCAGGCAGCTGGGGGTGCTTATTATCACACCAGGAGATTTTCCAGCTTTTGCAAAATCTTCCAGCAAGCAGATCAGGTCCCAGGCCGTCACTCCTCTGAGAAGAAGAGCTTGAGATCATAAGAACCATGGGTCCACTGTTGACAGCATTGAACAGGTCCTTAAAGTATAATTAAACTCTCTCTTTATTTTGTATCGACTGCTTGCTAGCAGTACATATATTCAAAAACATTATAAAAAAGTTACCAAAAAGGGTTTTACTTACCTAGCATGATGGGGCTGGCACATGCACAGTAGAGATCTTTGACCAGGAGAGGAGGAGAGACACAGTGTAGGTCAATGCACGCAGCCCGACAGCGTGCACGCGGACAGACTTTGTGGGACACAGAAGACACAGCAGTCGACGTTGGATCAGAGACCGGAACCAGCGCTGGAGGAACTCCTGAAAACTACTGGAAAGAAGATGACTTTAATGTATTTAAAAGAAACAGATAGATAGATATAGAGCCATGTATTGGGTTAAATAGGGGGACTGCCATTCCTGACCTCCTTCCGAGAAAACTAGTTGGCTGGCTGTGTCTGGCTTCAGTACTTTCTGAGTTACTAAATGGGAACAAACATGCATATTTGAAAGAGAGACTGAAATCAGAACTTGTGATCTGCATACTAGTTCCAGGCCATTGTCTCAAAAAGGAGACCCCATGGCAGATCTCAGCATTTTGGAAAGTGGAACTTATATTTTCAGTTTCAGACCTGCCCATTTCACACCAAGGATGTGGTTTTAGTAATCTTGCCACTGTTATTGAGTTTGTATATTTGGTTTGCGTTTGCTTATATTCTGGCTGGATGACTAATTATTTATCACATATCAAAACCATACACGTTAAAAGGCATTTATTGTAGCACACCTTGCACCTTGGAGCTCAACAGCACAGGGGACAAAGACGCAATAGCATTTGGTAAATCATTGTGGCTAAATGGATGTGTACAGAGTTTAGGGACCTGTTGTAAAAGCATTGAATACGCTGTTGGAATACTTTTTGTTAATTACATAATAGTAATGAAATCCGTTAAAGTGGTGTTTTTTCTCAAGACAGCTGAGCAGATCTGTAGCTTCTGGAGTGTGCATGCATTCAGTATAAAATGATAAGGAACATTTTTGGTTAGTGGGGATAAGACGTCCTCCCACCCCTCTCCCACTCTCCTGTGTAGAGCAGGAGGTATAGAGAGGAGGTTGTGTATAAAGATCCTTCTGCTGTTTTCTCCTTCCTTCTACTCTGCAATCTGTCTCTTCTGAAAGACTGGGTGAGACCTGCATGACTCTGTCATTGTAACACATGGCTTAGTAGAATGTTTTTCTATGTCTTAAGAACATACTGTACTTGAAAATATCAATATCATGTTCTTCAGTCACATCTTCTATAGGCTGCAGAGCTTTTTCTTTATAGTTATCAGTCAAACTTTTTTAACTATACTATAGAAATGCACATGGAGTCATAATCAATGCACAAATCTCTTAGGCCTGGTTCATACCTAGGCGTTTTTGAGCAGTAGAAAAAGTGCTTTTAAATGCCCAACACAAGAACTCCCATGATTTTCAATGACTCCTGTTCACACTTGAGCAGCAAAACACCGACAGGAAAGCGCCAAACGCAGAAAAGGGTATGAGCTTCTTTTGGCAGTTTCAAGCTCGTTTTTTCCCCCATAGACTTCAATGGAAGCACCAGAAAACGCACGGCAGAAGCATGTTGCACATTTTCGCACGTGTTTTTGCGCGTTTGTACGCGTGTTCGTCCATTGATCGCAATGTTTCTTAAGCTGCTAATCAAAATGCGCATCTTCATGTCCGTGCATTTTCACGCACGGAAAAATGTGCCAAATGCGCATAAAGGTACAAATAACCCCATGCTGAATCCACAAGTACAAATGCGCAAAAAAACGGTGCCGCCTAGGTGTGAACTAGGCCTTATTCATCTTGTTTATTCTTTTGAAAAGCCAGTATAAAGGAAAAATAATAGTGAAAATAAACACTCTAGGTTTAACCAATCCTTATTGGCATATAAACTCTTAATGGTTGGCATAACTGGGGGTGTGACAGCGGTGTGTCCATTGCCTAAATACATTGTGCTGGAAGGTGTCCCTTATGGAGAGGGGCAGCTTTGGCCACCAAAGGTTTTATGATGGAACTTCAGCTCTGTCAAGGTGCTCAAGCATGTGGGTTTTTTTTAATATAGTTGAAATACCTTATTATCATCCAACTTGTCCTTGATACCTCCTTTTTGTCACTAAGTCACCATTTCATACGTTTGCTTAAGGGCTTGTTCACACAAACCTGCGGTGCGTTCCAGAGCGGTAGCTGGTGGAACCCACAGCAATCGCTCACTAAACTTCCCCCTTCATTTCTTGGGCGGGAGGGGCATTGCAGCCATGCCCCCCCCCCCCCCCGCCTGCAGTGCGATCAGACGCGTGGCAAAACATTGCCTGCGTTCTGGTCCACTGCAAACTATAAAAATAGCGCATTCAGCATTTTTTTGCGGAGGGGGGGGGGGCCTTGGTTGCGGTGCCATTGACTTCAATGCACTGTCACGCCCCCTCCTGCTCCAGAACGAAGGGGGAAGTTTAGTGAGCGATTGCTGTGCGTTCCGGCAGCTACCGCTCTGGAACGCACCGCAATTGGTGTGAACAAGCCCTAAATAAGGTCTGCAAGCTGAGTCATATCCGACTTTGGAAACAGCGACATGACAGTACATTGTTATCTTACAAGGTTTTCTGCTGTGGTTTCTTCTAAGTACATATTTTTTCTCTGTAAATATATTTCTTTTTAGAGGTTTTTCATGATACAAGTAATACAAGCAGACATCATATATTTTGAATTACTTTGTCTCCATTAGGATCATTGCTTTTATCATGGACATGTGGAAGGACAAAATGACTCATCAGCCAGCATTAACCTCTGTAAAGGAATAAAGTAAGTCTAATATTTAATTTATACCACTGGATACTAAATAAAAGAATGTGTCCTCCGCTTCTTTTTGCCTGCTTTGTGTTAGACAGAAAATATTTTTAGAGGTCCACTGGATAGAAGGGTTACACATTCAGGTCTGTGAGAAGTCTTGTCACCAGTTGAGATCACACATGTAAATTATTTAAACGGTTGAGTACAACTAGAACAAATTGTTCAGGATGATGTGTAAAAATGGCCTGCTTCTGATCATTTTATTTTTTTAACTAATTGCTGTCCCAAGGTTAACTAAGTTTTTTTGTACATGTTAAACAGCTTGGTGTCTTAGTGTTCAGGTCTAACTGTTCAGGTCTAACGTTCTAACATCTGGTTTGATCAGCCATGGTTGTCTTTTCCTAGTCATGTCTCCCCCGGTTATGTCTATGGAGATCTAGTTAGAGCTGCAGCTAACGATTATTTTCAAAATCGATTAGTTAGCCGATTATTGAGTTCGGTTAATCGGATTGAGGCGGGAAGGAGGTGCAGCGTGTAGAGCGCGGATGCGGGTGGGTCTGGCAGCGGTGGGCGCGAGTTGGGGAGGAGGCGCGGCACGCAGCGTTTGTGGACCCGTGAACAGGGCCAACTAATCGGAAGCCGATTAATCGATTATTGAAAAAGTTGACAACTTTTTCAATAATCGATTATAATCGATTATGTCGATTAGTTGTTGCAGCCCTAGATCTAGTGGTCCACAGATGGGCTCTGATGTGGCAGGTGGTGGGAGTTGGTTTTTCCTATATGGACTCAATTCACACAGCTAAAACACCAGCATAAGGAACTTTATTTTCCAAAACGTGACCGTTATGTTTAGCTTTGTCCAGTAAGATTAGAAAATTACTCTCGCGTGGCAAAAAAATAAGATTTTTCTACTTGTGCAAAGCTTTATGAATTGAGTGGTGTGTTGATGTGTATAAGTGCATTTGCCCAGGCCCATGGGAAACATCCACAGAAAATAAAGGAAACCAAGCAGACCTCATCTGTTTACTCTGCTCCATTTCCCTTGAAACTACTATTTGTATGTATGTAGGTACAGCTGATGTTTCCTTTGCACAGTTTATGAATCTTAAAGGAAGTGTATAGTGGTCTGTACATATTTTCTTTACATATTATGGTCAGAACTAAAAACAAACTGTAAATTAAGTTTCTTTTTTATAATTTAATAAGGTAAATATGAAATGTTTATATCTTTATATGCAGCTGGAAGGTGAATTTAATGCATTTTCCAGGATCTCTTTAGCTTCTCTGTTAAAAAAAAAAGCAGATTTAATTTTTTTTTTTTTTTAATAGAGGGGAAGGTTTAGGCCCTCTCTTCTGATGCCCAGATGCTCTGTGACATCTGTCTTCATTTCATTTTTTTCCTCCCTCATGGGTTGGAAGAAAAATGGGCCCATGTAATCACTATGGCTGGCTACATATAAAGGAATGTTTGTGTGCCTATATCCGCCCACATTCGGTCAGAAAAAGCAGACCTGGATGCAAATGCTTGTGTTTATTTTTTTTTGCTGTCTATGATACTATTGTCAGAACAGGAAGTGATAGTTATTCTTTCCAGTGAGGACAAAGCCTAAAGCTGTGTACACATGGAGCGAAGTTAGCCCTATTGGTGGCCCTATCTCCTTGACAGAAGTTGATCATTAGATCAACTTTTGCTGAAGGAACATGTTGGAAATTCCTCCGCTGAACCGTGCTTGTAGCCAATCAGCTGCAAGCACTGTTTGGTTATTCTGACAGCAGCTGCCAGAATACAAAACTCACAGTGGAGATTCGTCCATCCACATTAAACAGAAATCCACAAGTTGAATATAACGGGGTATACCCTACTTAAAACTAATTACTGTCAAGGCAGGAAATGATGGCCAATCTCACCAGTGAGGACAAAGAATAAAACTAAAACACTTTTTTTTTTTTAATAAGTAGGATGTTGGCAATGCTTTTATTTCTGTTGGTGCCTTCCTGTCCTGGTGACAATCACACTATCTGTTCCTTGTACAAGTATCAGAGGGACAGAAAGTAAAGAAAAAAAGTCTCCACAGTGGGGACAGAAATCTGACTCTTCCCTATGCTATCCATAACTAAAAAACACTTTTGTCTGGAATTAAGCTTTACATAAAAAAGTAGAATAAAATTAACTCATAACCATTGTAGTTTCCCTTTAAAGCTGCTGCTTATAATGGGAAGCAAGCGCCAGTTAATCAAAAGAGTTGGCTTTTCTCCATGGGTAATCTAACGACGTGTGCTCCCAAAGGCATATTTTGTTGTTGTTGTTAACAGTGGTTATGAGGGTAGGGGTATATAGTAAATATGTGTATGTAGTGTATCGGCTGTGTAACCTAGTCTGTTGAGTTCTACAGGAACTGTGGGTGAAATTGATACTTTGCTCTAAAACCAGAAAAATACTCTTAAACCCTGGTTCATGGCGGAGCATTTTGTTATGCGTTTCCCGAAACACTACAACATACAACATGAAGAATCCCATTATTTTCAGTGGTACTCGTTCACACGTGATTGTTGTGTTGTTCGTAGCTTGAAAAATAACATGAGCTGTTTTGGGGCAAAATCGGGCATTTTATACTCCGTGGACCTCAAAAGCACCTGAAAAACATATGTAATGCACGTTACGCAAGTGATTTTGCATCTAACAACCATCTCCTCCTAGTAGCTAGCTTTGCTTTGGCTAAAACAAAAATGCTCAGACCTAAAAAAAAAAAAAGGCTCGTACAAAAGAAGCTTCAAATCACCTAAAAATGCTCAAGTGTTTTGTGCTTGTGTTGGCGTTGTGGTGTTTTAATTTTGTTAGAAAACAAATTTTTTTATATTTAATCTGTGTTGTATAAACTATATTTGGGATATACTGAATATACATTTATACAGTAAAAACCAGTTTATTAAGCCCTGACTAAAACAAAAAAATCCCATCTGTATTTGCAGATTTTAAACCATTAAAATGGGTAGAAAGTGTTTTTTTAAGGGAAACTATTGCCTTGTCTGCTTCAAAGAACGTTCATTATGCCAAGTAAATTTTTTAAAAAAAAGAACTTCCTGTCTTCTGATTATTAACTTCTATACTGGGAAACTCATAACATACAGGAAATGTGCTGTGCGGAGGTAATTTCTCATTCTTCATTTCCTGCCCTGAGGTATCAATCTCCCTACACCCCCTCCTCAGTTTAATGGTTCTTCAGAAATAGACGTATCAGTAGCGAGGTGTAGAATTCTGTAGATAGAGATAATCACATCTATATATAGATCAGTGTGACTGGAATTTAGTTAGCCATGGTAAGCAATGCATGCCATGTCTGTTCTTATAATAGACAAGGAAAGGCCCAAATTGGCTGTACTAAGAAAAATAACCATACTGACCTCTATATATAACAATGTATATAAAATATTATGTAATTTATATATTAATGTTTAATGTGTTTATAATTTTCTATAATACATTTATATAATTAAATTATATATATTATTGGATTTTCTGTCAACTTATATAGTCAAAGGACACTTACACAGTCATAGTAATTGAAAATCCATCCAGGATCTCCCCGAGCATTCAGAAGAGAGCAGGAGTCCACCTCTGTCCAGATCTGCCCCATGTCCCGTCCCTGCCATGCTGTCATAGCCACACTGTAGTGAAGATTAAAATATAGGTCTCTGATATGAAAGGAGGGCTTCTGATGTGGAAACCCCAGGGACCCCCCCCCCCCCTCATTGCAATGAGTGACTGCTCATTCATGCCCAGGGGACAGGATAAAGCAATTTTCTTACCTGATTACCCTTCACCCAGAAGCTGGTGATCTCCTCTTCTCCCCTCCACTCCAGCTGTGGATTGTCCCTCGGCATCCTCACATACAATGTAGGGCTATGGAGCCTGCATTGTACTTGATGACATCAGCAGTCTTTATGACTCCCAGAGAGAATAAGCTTCAAGGACCAGCCTGGCAGCCCAGAGGGGGTCTCAGGAGTAGGGATGAGATAAGTTTAGTGGGCCCATACACACCATGTCCGGACCAGATCCAGATCAGAAAGTTTTTTTTTTGTCTGGTCCAAAAATGCATCTCTGTTCATTCCGATGGTAAAAAGTGAGGCTAGTTCACACCACTGCGTTCAGTTCCTGAACGTTTAAAAGAAGTACCGCATGCACTATTTTTTCTGGTCCGCTCCAAAATGCATGTAACATGCAAATGCTCCAGAACGCACTAGAAGTCTAATTGAGACTACATAAAAGCCCAAAACACTGGAACAGACACTTATTTTTAAAATAAAAAACATGCATACCCGTGTTTCTAGAAACGCATCCAGATCTGGTCTGGAGATGGTGTGAACAAGCCCTTAATGGTCAGTAAATTCTGTGGCATAAGAATAAATGTGATATTCATCAACCAAACATTTGCAGGTGGTTAATCATGCACTGTAATTCAACGCACATTCACCTGCAGTGAATATTTAATGAATGTCGGCCCTCTGAAGTTTGTATGCAAATTAATATTTTCTCATCAAGCTTGAAGCTGCTCCTCCTGGAGCCCTCCTAGTGTCAAGCAAGACTGTACTTCACAATAAAAAAAAAACAATAGAAAGTCTCAGGAGGTGGAAGGGTATTTTTTACGGGGAAAGTCTGTTTTCATAAGCTTTTGCTGCTCGTATCTCTGCATCTGCTGCTCAATTTGGCTTTATTTTATCACATGCTCAGTTTGAATTTTTGGTGGGTTTACTCTGAAATCATTCACTAGTATTTGCACCATTGTGTTCTGAAAACTATGACAAGCTGCAGTTTTAGCCATATTTTACATGGTCTTTGGAAGAACAGTTGTCACTGCTCAGTGAACATGCTGCAAAGAATGGTCGGGGTTGAAGTTGTATTTTAGCATATTTGTGTGAATAGGTCCTCAGTGATGATCTGCCACCTTTTAGAAAGGCTGTAATTGTGTTTTACATATTCCAGTTAAATAGCTGACCATCTCCCCTGCTGCAGCAATATAATGGCCTTGTATCTTTTCAGCGGGTTTCTGCAGGTGGATGGGCAGATGTACTTAATAGAACCTCTCCCAGGATCTGATGATGACCAAGGTGCACATGCTCTTTATAAGCATGAACATCTGCGCATGAAGAGAGGAACTTGTCAAGGCAGCAACACCAGCACTGTGTATGACTATGGACCAAGGGTGGCCACAATGCTGAAGCCCCAGCCATGGGTGAGTTCAAGTCATTTCATTGATTGCTTTGAAAGAAACTCTGCAAGATGTTAAAATGTTTATGTCTGAGTAGATTTTATAGTCAGATTTTAAATGTGCTATGTCCTTGTTATGGAGATTTCCCCTCACTGCCTACTCTGTTACCCATCACCTGGACAGGAAGTGAGAGAAAATCTGGACACAAGCAACAATACAGTCTGCATACAAATGCAGACATCCCAACTCTCCCGGACGCTCCGGGAGTCTCCCGCTATTAGATAGCGGGTCCCGGTCGTCCGGGAGAGAAACACTTCCTCCCGGAAAGGTTTATCTGCTCGGTCGAGCAGATAAACCTTTCACTGCGATCGTTTTTTTTGTTTCTTTTCTGACATCGGGAGCCGCGGCCCGACCGTCAGTCAGAAAAAAAAAAAAAAGGCATAAGAATGCATAGCTAGATTCCTATTGGCTATTTCACTTTGCAATATTCTCTCCCAGCCCCCCCTAACCCTCCCTCCGCGGAGGGGGGGGGGGAGAGGGCACCTCCCTGAAATGAGAGGGACACCTCCCTGAAATTGCTTCTTTCAGGTTGGGATCCCTGCAAATGTTGTCTGCAAAGAAAAGCCAACTACTCTGGCCTTACATCTACTGATCAAGGCATTTTGATGTTTCCATAATTCCCTCCCAAGGGTTAACGCACTGTTTGTATAAGGTCTGAGGGCTCTTGAGGAGTGTTTAAGCAGGGTGCTGGGGTATTTTCAGGAAGCTAAGTATAGCACCTTGCCAGTCCCTCCCACCAGTCATTCATTGCATAGAGAAGCATAGAGTGATGAAGACCTCACTGGGTCTAACATAAGGTATTTAAAGAAATGGAAAGGTTTTATGTGACATTTTTGTTGGCATGTTAATGACAGGGGGAAGAAACAAACGGGTAAGGCAAAAAATAAGCGGAGTAAACGTCAGCTTTAATTACCTAAGTGTTGTAAAATGAAATCTGATAGCTTTGGGTTACTGCATTTCCAACACCAGAAGACTTATAACATGCTTTTGTTTCCCACTAAATAACCTGTTAAAAAACAAGCATCACCGTTTCCTTAGAACACGGATCAGTTCTCACTATAGTCACACATGGTAGTATTTCTTTGAGGTTTTATTATTTAAAAGATGACTATTTGTTTTCTGAGGAAGATGCAGCAATTTTGTCAGGTCAGTTCACCCTAGTTCATGCTGCAGAGTTAAATCAGCAGTTTTGTATTTTTTTTTTTTTTGGCAAGACTTTTGTGCTTATGTTGTTGGGTCTGCACTATAACCACAGCAAACATATTATTATTAAAGCCACACTCCAGAAAAAAAGGATAATTTACACATTGCACTAACATTTAAAAGCTGCGTGCTATTTGTGGAAGTCTTCTGCAAAGTATTAGATTCTTACCTTGCAACATGCCGTCTCCTGTACATAACACCCAGCTTCTGGGCACTGAAGAGAGGAAGAGCTGTGACTTGAGCAGTACAGCACTCCGATCGCATCACCCACCCCTCCTCTCTACTTGCCCATTCACAAAATGTCTTGTATTGCAAAGAAATGCAAGACATTCTATGATTGGAGGATAACCGATAATGTCACATCCCCACCCCTCCTATCATTTCAAAAATTTTTCGCTTTGATTTGGATTTTGCGTTATTTCGTTTTTCGGGATTTGGTGTCGAAATTCGATTCGGACAATATTCGTTAGCAGTAGTTCGGTCGAAATTTAGTTGCGTTCGTTCGTTGCAGCAAAGTGACATTTGCGAAAAAAGAGGAACCCTTTAAATCTGGTAGGAATGTCAGGAGGGACCCCCCCCCCCCAAGTTAAAACAATAAAAAAAAGTGCGTGTGGTTCCCCCCAAAATCCCTACCAGGCCCTTTAGGTCTGGTAGGAATTTTAAGGGGGATTCCCAACCCCCCAAAATGGGTGGGAAAAAACGTGGGGTCCCCCCTAACATTCCCACCAGACCCTTGATCCCAGCACTGGCAGGGCAGGAAAGGGGGGGGGGGGGGTGGGAAGGGGGGGGGGGGGCGGCGGCCGAGCCCCCCCCCCGTGCCTTACCAGGCCACGTGTCCCCATCGGCATTGGAAGGGTGTCCCCATGCCGATGGGGACAAGGGCATCTTCCCCACAAACCTGACCCGGTGATTGTGGTGGTCTACGGGCAAGGGGGCTTATTTGCATCCGGGTACCCCTTTAATTAAGGGGCACCCAGATGCAGCTCCCCCTTGTGAATGAGTAAGGGGTACTAGCAGGAATGTAATTTTGCAGCGAGTTCCCGTCGGGTTTGGACAGTCGTCAGGCGGCGGGACTTTTTTTATTTCGGCGTGCGTCGTACATCGTAATTGACGCTGGATTACATCGATGGAGCAATTTTTTTTTCAATTAAAGGATTTTATCAAAAGTCTGGACTTTTTAATAACTTATTTAACCCTTTACTCATTCACAAGGGGGGGCGGCGGCATCTGGGTGCCTCCTTAATTAAAGGGGTACACCAATGCAAATAAGCCCCCTTGCCCGCAGACCCCCACAACCACCAGGTCAGGTCTGTGGGGAAGAGGCCCTTGTCCACATCGGCATGGGGAAACCCTCCCAATGCCGAGAGCACGTGGCCTGGTAAGGGG